AAAGACTACACTATGTTCAATTAGTGTTCTTTTCAAGTTTGAGAGTATATTTTGTTGAATACTCATCGAGTAGGAATTTTTTTCAAATTTGTAAAAATAAGAGAGAATGTATGGTTTTTGCTCAAGTGCTCCATACATTCTTTGTAAATTTTTCGAGATTTAAACGCTTGCAACCCTGTAATTATAAATGCGAATACGCTCAAACTCAGCAACTATATAATAAATCTAACTAGTATCAAGAGCAGAATCATCCATTCACACTGGCAAAGGTGTGAACCAGCAGAGACAGCACATAATGCTTCGAAGTTACAGCTTTTTCCAATGTGTTTATAACASGACATAAACTTTTCTAAGCTGCAAGGTCTTGAGCTGTTCCCATCGGGGCTGCAACATGGCAGTAAAGCTGAATTCTCGTTCATCAAAGCCTTGAGTGATAAAAGATAGGGGATAGTCATTAATATTAATTTCATCATCATCATATTTTCAATTATTGCACCATTTCTGATTATGATAACTTGCTTTAGGTATTGACATGAGAGAGTTCTGACCACACCCATAGATTCGAAAAAAAATGTTTATGCGATGAAAGTATGCTTTTTTTTGACTAATGAGGTGAGTGCGCGCTGGTGGCTTTAAAAACCGACTTGAAAACAATGTGCTTGCGTCATTTTCAACCAATCACGACTCGAGAAATAACGCAGAGTCTCTTACACATTGACTTCTGCTGGATGGCAAAAGTGCGGGCTCTGGATACGAGCTTGGTCTTTCCTACGCACTTCCCTTGATGCAGTGCGCGTCACGAGAGAAGCATGTGAATGTAAAACAGGATCTTAATGCCTTATGTTCTTAGTTGAATAGCGATAAGAGTTCCCTTGTTTTACGCCTCCTCGTCCACTTCGTGAGACAGGAACTCCGCGTTAACTTGCTGTCGGAGAAGACAGGGCAGATATTCAACATGCAAACCCAAATCACATTTTTCACCCTAGATAGGSCGAGAAGAAGACTAAAATCCTACCTGTACTTTATAATCCTTGCCACAACGATACACCACAAGAGCGAGGCTAGCAGACATGGGCACTATCTTTGATGTACGAAAGRYTCGATTTGCATTCTGGGCGTAGTTATCAGCTCTCAACGGCACAGTTGAATTATACATGCCAAAGAGTGTCTGCAGAGCCAATATTGTACTAATATGGGTAAACCTAAAGGTTCCATACGGATGGCCGTCTTTGTTGCTTATGAAGTTATCCAGGGAGTCCACAATGTCTGACATGAGGGGGCAATTAGTCTTGTAACCGATTYCGTTTCCATATGACGAGCTATAGTASCCCCAGAGGTCGTCGTAGTASTCCATAACATTCAAGTCCTCCTCGTCAAACAGAGMGCACCAGTCACGTTTTAAGTTRTTCATTGTGGCATACGCACAGAACCAGAACATGTAGTAAACGAAATCTGCGTCTAAAGGAATTTTACYGCCGAGATTCAGTCGTTTATTGACGTTGGAAATGACCTGCTTTATTTCGRAGCCCTTGGCAAATTTCTTCCATTCGTCTAGTCCAGGTCCATTGTTTATTTCCTGTATGTACCTACATGAATGAAAAGAAATGTACAGTTAACTCTCGCTATTACGGACACCCTCGGGACCGTAATTTAGTGTCCGCAGTGGCGAGAGTCCGTAGTAACGAGAGTTACTTTCAGTCATTTCTTTGTATTTTTCGTCGGAAATTCAGCATTTTACTGTCCACAATAACGAGGTATACGTTGTAGCGGGGTGTCCGTAAGGCGACTGTATACACTTGATTAAAAAGCGTTGTCAGATTACAAAAGTTGATACCAAGTAAGCTAAGATCGAGGAGGATTCTGGGTACGTTGAAGTATTAAAGTCAAATCTCTCCTTACCGACACCCCGGTATTACGGACACCTCGATATTACGGACAGGAAATCCTGAATCCCAATGGGGAAAATACAGTAATAAACTCCCGTTATTACGGACTACGCTATTGCAAACACTATGAAATTACGGTCCAGAGATTGTCAGTCCGTAACAGCGAGAGTTGACTTTTATCGTATTTGTCTAAAGATTTTTACTATTAGCTTTTCTAGATATTCCAAAATTCGATCTTAAAACCGACAGACAGAAACGCATTTCGGATGGATATTTCATGTTACCTAATGATAAAAAATCTAAAACACGACCGCATTGTATGCTGGTAGACCATGACCTTTAAATACTCCATTTTTGATTTAAAGCGAATTAACAGCAGATTCTCTTACGCAAAGAACTTACCAAACACAAAAGAAAGCACGCGAAAATGTTGTAAGTACAATAGCGCTAACAATTTACATTTTCCTCGAGTTGAGGCTAACCCTGTATTCCCAGAAGGCTCATACCTTAGRTCTTATGGGAATACAGAGTTAGTCTCAACTCAGGGAAAATGCAAATTTTCAAGGCTATTGTRATAACGACATTTTCTCGTGCTCTCTTTTGTGTTTGGTCAGGTCTTTGTGCAGGAGAATCTGTTATCTAAAAAAGAAGCTGCTGTTCACTATGAATTCGAAACTGGAGTATTCCATTCAATCATTTTTATGTAACTATACCTTGCACATGAGCTGAAAAAACGAAGTTTTTTGTCTTTGGTTTTTGGCCCAGTAACCTTAACTGCTATAGGTTGATATTTACCACCATCTAACGTGCCATTACCATCAAAAAGACCCATACTGAACGCTACGGCACTCTTGTATGACCGTGGTGTATCGGATGCTTCAAATCTATAATGGGCGTTCCAATATTTCTTTTTGTTGAAGAGGGTATTGTATTTAGACCTAAAACGCTTCCCCAGTTGGTATATTTCTTTGTTCCCAGGCTCTCCCTGTTCGCAGTCACCTGATTATAGATTACAGACATCTGTTAGCATTCAAGACTGCAAAATTTTACTTATCGGGATATTCTTAAACCGCATTTTCTTATATGCGTTTAGGCGCGAGAAAGACCTCAGCTTTAGCGTAAGACTTAAGCGTAAGTCTTTTGGGATTACAGGCTTAGCCTCAAATCAGATAAAACGCAAATTTGTAGTGTTATTGAATAAAAAAAATTCATGTGTTGTTTTACACAAGGTCTTTGCGCAAGAGACTGTTATCTGTTTAAACAGTGGCCACTTGGTTTTAACATGAAAAAGACGTACAGGTCGGTTGGTGTCATTACAATTGCACTACCAATTAGCATTTTCTACGACTTGAGACAAGTCTGTGTTTACAATTTCATTTGAATATTATTGAACAGTTCTAATTCTTATGGAATTAGCTTCTTTWTTTAACCCTCACTCGACCTCCCTTAAGTGCGCAGTCGTGCTGCGAGTTATCGTTAAATATTCCATTTTTTTTTGCGTATACCTGCAAATTGATACTCGTCCGGTAGYTTCCATGGAATTGTCAGATTCTTGAACGTAAAAGCCTTGGATTTATGCACTTTATTGACCTCTTCTACTACGTTGGCCAACGGTTCTTTGTAGTGGCTGCACGGATATCGTGAACCATGGCGCAGAACCATATCCAAATGGACGACAGTGCAGCCAACTGGTGTATTAATGGCTTTTAGATTGCCTGGTTGGTACGGAGTGTTRGTACCGTAAGGGTACCATGCCATACTGAATGCGAGGTTAGCCAAAAGCGCTACTAYTAGGGCAATTATATTCCTTCGAAGTAAAGCGGACATCTTGAACATACGGTGATCTTTATGAAAGAYGTCGTTGTGTATAGTCTTGTGTTATCAGTGTTACGCCCAGTCTCCGCACTAATAGCAGCTTCGAGGGAGACTAAAACCTATTCAGTGTTCAGGTGGAAGGGGACTAACTAGAAAACTGATTTAGTTAATTTAGTCCTCTTAAACTTAAATTTATAAGACACTTTTCACCTGAYATACACATAGTAATACAATGCAAAAATTGTAACAACACTTGAAGAGAGAAATAAACGATTCTATTCTATTCTGTAGTCACTATGTTGTTCTAGTACCCAGTCCCCTCCTCGTATAAAATGTASGRCATTTTTCAGAGRACATTTTRGATATTTCTGATTGTTACCTTTTGRRACATTTGAATAGCTTGTTTACCATGTRCAGTSAACTCTCGCCTTACGGACACCCCGCTACAACGGACACCTCRATATTGCGGACAGTAACATACTGAATCMCCGGCGAAAAATACAAAGAAATGACTGAAAGTAACTCTCGTTTCTACGGACTYTCGCTACTGCGGACACTAAATTACGGTCCCGAGGGTGTCCGTAATAGCGAGAGTTGACTGTAGTCTTTCACTTAATCTTTGTATTTAATTTTAATAATTTGAATCCCACCCTATTATTTTTAAATCGCAGTTTTCGAGATGAAAATTGCGGGATTTTGATGTTTATTGTTAGATAATTATTATTATTTATGGATAGTTTCTTTGAATACTTTAACTCAAAATAACAGGAGAATTTCACAAGATATTTTGGGTCCACTGATAACGAAGCCATAACAAGATTGAATGCTGATTCAAAATGGCGGATTTCTCCGCGTAAGCAGTCCATMGATGCTTTGCGAGGAAATCTCGGACCCATTCTTCCACTCATTTAATCAAACGTGAATYCACTGTATTCCAATTCACTTRCAGCTGARGCCATTGCRATAAGAATCGTTGGTAAGAATCAAATCGAGGTAGTACAAGGAATGACATTTGGCTTTGAAGTCGAGTGCATAGCGGCCGATGGTGARCGGRYACAAGGTAATCTAATAKGCARTKTRCAGCGACGCCATTTTGTGCAGCAAAGCATKATGGTAGTTGTAGTCCTCGTACTTATTATAGTCCCTAAAATATCTCCCTAAAAGGCGTTTTTATGTTTTCTTTGTAGAAAYGGTACAACTACTTTTACTTTTAATCAGAAAAMRCAAAACCTTCAAAGGAGGACTGTTATAGCGGAAATGAAAAAGTACGAGGGTGACATCATGCTTTGCTGTACAAAATGGCGTCGCCGCACATTGCATATTGTCCCTATTAATGATTTTATCATATTTCTTATAAGCAGCATGTATATGCACTGTTTAGTGTTTGAAAGGAGACCTAAACTAAAACCTTTTAAAACACTTCTTGCATTGATTAAGTGGTATAATTGCCCTAGTTCATTATGACGTCACATTAAAACATTCTATTGTTTTAACGCTAAGGATTATGGTCGCCAGAAGGGATCAGAGTGACTGCATTTGAAATAAAATGTATCAAAACACGATTCATTGAGGTTCTACTTTAGTAGACAATATAAATGGGTCCAAACTTCCACTGTTTTTGAGCATCGTGTTCCGATGTAAACATACTGTGACGTCATAATGAAATAGGGCAATTAACTTGTTCAATTTTTAGAGGATGGAAGGTTGTTACAGGCRACTGGTTGGATCAGAGTACCAAACATAAGAAAAACTCCTGAACCCATGACCGAACAAGATGAAAGACTACCCACCCCCTTGTAAGTATCTCCCGTGGAGGGAAGGGAAGTCCAAAGTGTTTTTTATTAAAGGGCCATGGTCACCCGGCGTTCATGGCGCGGTCGAAGTTCGAAGTATTTACCTACGAGAAAACAGTCACTTGGAAAGAAGGATACCCCCCGTCTCTGTTTCTTTTCAAAAGTTGTATTTCGTTGAAAATCCACTTCCAATACATCGGTTTTACAACAGCACCAACCGTTTCCTTTTATTTAGAAAAGAGTGCTTGTTTCAGATTGGTCGCCTCAGCCATTCAAGCTTCTTCCATTCAAACTTGACTTCCTTATACTGTAGTACAACGTTATATTCCTTCAGCAAATTTACAAACGCTATTTTAATGAACATCCATGGTAATACGGGGGCTTGTTTTGTTAAATATTATCGTTAATTTTCTTATAATCAAAACAGAAACTTAAGCGCACTTATGCTATTATTTTCTCTCTGTTCATTGTAGTGGATTTGACGTGGAGCCGTACTGTCTGACTGACTGCTTAACTGACACGTCCAGCGACAATTTTCCATTCTCGGGCCAATCAGGAAGCCTAGCGTCAATCAAGCCACTGCAAAATGCTTCACCATCGGAGAGTGCTGCTGACATTCAGGTATTTTAATTTGAAAATTCGGTGTTTCTGAACAAACAGTTGCATGAAATAGGATAATTTTTACAATTTTTTAATCGTAAAAAGTACGTAAGTTTCTTAAAGGGACACTGTCAATGGCACGCATGCGCGAGTAAACTTGAAAACATTAGGCTAATGTTTTGAAGTTTATGACTCCAAGTTGGCGCGACATAAATCAGCTCGTAAACGTAAACAGATCTAGAATATTCCAAAGTGTGTCAAAAGCACCACAATCACTTTTATGCGAAAGGTAACACGCTGCCAAGCACTTCTGTGAAGAMAGAAATAGATTTYGAATTGTATTTTCTGAGTTATAGGCATTTGAAAATTAAAAATGCAAATGAAGTGACGTCGAATRAGGATTTGGTCTAGACTTTTTACATTGTTTGTGTTATGTTCTTGGTTGAAAAGCTCAAATCATCAASCATAGTARTMATTGAGAGCTGAAAATGCTTTTTTTCCAATGAAACAAAAAGAATAACGTCCTCTTTCATGATTTTTCACTTCATTAGCATTTTCTAAGTTTCAATTGCCCATAAYTTAGAGAAAATACAGTTAGAATCAATTTCTTTCTTCACAGATGTACTAAGCAGCATTTTCTCTTTCGAATGAGAATGGTCTCATGTGCACTTTAAGAAAATAAGTTTGCATTTTGAGTTTTTTGTTACATAGATATTTACCTACGACGAGAAAAGTGGAGTTGATTGAGTGACGTCACAATTTAAGGCTTATAATCTGCCGTGACGTAATTTAACAACGCGTGTTGTTTATTCAATTTGTGGTCCTAATAAAATGGGAAACTTCAAACWCTTTTGAAGTACTATATTCTAAATTTCCATTTATTTTCGTCATAGTTCCCCGTCAATCAAAAATATTAATAATTAGAGTAATGCTCGATTTAATTAAATTGCACCAACGCAGCCAATGTAACTTATCCACGAAACAAAATTAGTTTGAAATAGGGACCATGCGTTCTTGACCAAATGACATCGTTTCCATGAGCAGCGATGTCGTATCTTACTTGAGTAAACTCGCGTCTGTCATGGAGCTTTCTGTAGGTAATTAGCGAATTTTCTGCTTTATTACAGTATGAATTGCGCATGTTCTACTTCAAGGCTATAAATAGACGGGTATCACGTGACTTTCGGTATATTTCAGTAACATCCAATAGGCCATTTGCATGATGGCGTAACTTTACTACAACTACCAGAAAGCCTTGCGCATTTTCTTTGTTATTCAGATTTTTAATCCCCTTAGCGATTAGTAAAACAATTGGCACTAATTGCATTACAAAAGAAAGTGGGCAAAGCATTCTGGTAGTTGTAGTAAATGACGCCATAATGCAAATCGCCTATTCTTCAATTCATTCAATTTCACCTATACGTCACAGCGGCCATCTTGGAAGAACTTTAACAAAGGATTTCTCATTAGTATCTATTGTTATTCCTCCAACATGGCCGCCGTTGAAAACAATCAATTATTTACAAAGAATTGKATATTTGTTCAAGCAGGAACACTGTCGCTTGTGTTTTGTATACGGTTTTTCGTAACACTTTTGCTCTATTTTGTAGCGATTCACGTTCTTATTWAAAAAAATCAGSAAAATWCTTCGTTCACGGCTTTCTTGGAGGTGCTGTTCGTCCGAGATTGAAATAAACCAACATGGAGCACGAATGACATTTTGTTCGYATGTCAAGGCAATGTTTACAAAGCACGGATACGAATTCGATCGATCTGCATCTATATTTCATCATAACGTTGTCATTATAAAWATAAGATTTGTACTTGAAAAGGAGGAGAAGAACTTGAAAATATCAAAGAAAAATATACTTTAAAAAAAAAAACACGAAAAAAACCCTTCTTTTTCCATAATTTCTTCCTTCTTTTTTTACCAAACAATGTAATTTAGACGGTCGATGAATTTGTTTACGAGATTGCTGACATTATTACTATCATTTAATATATTCCTTTCAACACAGATGGTCTATTTCTCTATAAAGGTATATTTTTGGATTCAACGTGCGTAGTAGCAAGGCGTGCTTGCTCAAACCTAGTAATTCCCATGTAAACGATGTCTTAAKTCTTCAGATTTAGCACRTATTTGATTTGGAAGTAACTAGACTTGAACCGGTATCAATTTCAAGTATAATTGAGCTCTCGCTTTGACWAGGTAGCGACGGTATGTTTAAAGATAACAAAAACAAAATMCTTTTAGTTTTTGTTRCKTTTTTTMTTYTCATTTTTATCTTACAATGGTGTCCGCATTGTCATTTTTCTAATATCACCGCAGAGAGGAAAAAGAAGTTTATTTATTTAATTCAAGCAGAGCACTGTCTACCGAGTTATCTAGCACAACAAGAACTCCTTGGAAATTCAACGAGTTGTAAATGTGACGTTCTTGTGCTGAGCTATAAAACAAGGTGTGACGAACAGCCAACTTCTRCGGACCACATTCGTTAYATGTACCGCCCCAAAACTACTTGGGCTTCAGGTAGAAACGCTTTATACGAACGTGCCTGGAAACGTACTGTTAACTATACKTACTAYATCTTTGCGGACGATGACTTGCGTTTAGAGTACAACGCTTACGTAAATCAGAGCGTCAAGCATCAACCAGAATTACGTACGTTTGAAGACTTTCTASTGGACGTGGAGCCGGCTGTAGGCTGCGTAAACTTCCCCATYCATCACTCAGCGTCGTTTATCAAAAATATACGAAARTGTTGTTTAAACAAACCTGATCTTTCTCTACTCCCGGTGGTACATTTTGATGCTATTCTGAATGCTTATCATCGAGATGCAGTTCCCTATTTATTGCCATACACYGTTGAATACGACCRAGAATCCTGGTGGGATTCACAGCGTGTTCTTTTAGTTGCYGTTGAAATAAAATTTCGGGGACAAGCAATTATGTACCCWGGAATAAATGTTTTCAATCCTGTWCAYCGACCWTATCCCGCACGTCTTACTTAYCAGAGAATAGARTCGGTGGTTAGAAAAGCTCTTGGTAAAGAAAGATCTGAAATGCCTGAAAAGTTTCGTGATCATTTCGCTGTTACAAGCTACATGAAATCTCCTGTACAACATGGTGATGGGTATTGTCATACTACATGCATAGATATAATACCACACCATCCTATAATACCTTATGATCACTTCAGTGAATACCAACTCAAAGGTTACAGATCTTTAGCCGATAGCTTCAATATGACTGCACTTAATAMGATTTAGCACAATTTCAGAAGGAGGAGACGGGGTCTGTTMAATATGGTAATTGACGYATTGTCTGRGCTTCCTGTCTGGTCTATTGAGCTTTTGCAACTTGGAGGTTTAAAAAGAGAGGTTTGAAAAGACGATTGTAGGTTGGATTTAACTTCATAGTGTRCTTTGCTGCATCWAYCTTGGTGTTWRATAAAATAAAACCTAGCTTTCGACCTACGCGGTCATCTTCAGGGTTAYAATGAATCTCGTTACAATGACATAAAAACTTCACACCATCAAAACAAGAGCGCGTGAATAAGTTATGACGTTATAAAAGCGCGCGCAATAAATTAATCGCCTAGCAATTTTAGGTAACTAAAAGGTAGAGTTCTACCACTGTCTCTTTTAAGGCCGATTTAGGCGGCACAACTTTTGCCTACACCATCGCATGCGATCTGCGTAAKTCATCCTTACGACATGGCTACAACTGTCGTAAGGCTATTAAGCAATTGTAAGGACGACTTACGCAGGTTGCATGCGATGGTTGTAGGCAAAAGTTATGCCGTSTAAATCGGCCTTTAAATAGAATTTTTCTTTCTTCTGGCGATGTGACATGCCTCTTCCCACTTCCTYTGATGCCATCTAGCCTCTTTTCCAAGAATCTCCGTTCTTTGCCTATCGATTGCATGCCCTGTGGAGGTGGCATGCTAAGCTTATGCTGAGTTCTCAATTTTTGCCAATCGTACAGCAGCTAGGTGCACAGGTAGCCCAAGCACTGGACTTGGCAGTGAAAAGCGAAAAGTTCAAAAAAAGTGGTAAAACTGAATAAAATTATTTTAAACTACAACATAGTTAAGGCTATCCTACAATGAATTACAATACAATACTTTATTTTCACACATGAATAAAAGGAGAAAAAAAAACCGAAAAAAATACAAGGAAATAGATTTATAGGTAAACAAGCTCACATGTCCTAAGTAAAAAGATAAAAAGATTATAATTTATGGACGAGAAGTTGATAGTTTTAGGTGAAATAAGAAAAACAACCAAGCTTGCGGTCAAATGTTCAGAATCGTTATGAAATCGTAAATGGTTTCCGTGGTTACCGAAGCTGACGTTGATGAAATCACACGGAAATTTAATTACGTAGTTATAGTGAGCGTCAAATAAATAAAAGGCTTTCATTGTTCTTGTTAGTTTTTTAATTATTTAAATACAGGGATGTGGGCTTTGCCGTAAATCCACTTTTTGAAAGTCGATTCTCGTYATTACTTTGCTCAAAAAATGAAGGCATTTAATCCGCACTTGTCTTAATTAAATTGCCAATAGAAGAAGATAGAATTAACGCACGATTTTCGTCGATTGATTTGCTCTYGATAAATGAACACATATAAATTAGGGTCTTCAACACTCCAAGATAAAATCCGTATCTCCGCTCGCCTATGTAATATTCTCTATATCTTTCACATGTGGAAATTACAATGGATACTCCGTACAAATTGCGGTTGATTTCTTGCGAGGGCACAATGACAGCTACGCTTACTTTTAAAATATGAAGTGAACACTTGAAGATAAAATCCTTATCGCCGCAAACACTAGAAGATAAAAGTCGTATTATCGCGCGCCTATGCAATATCCTCTATCTGATATAACAGTATTTTTTTGCCGTTAACAAACAAACCACGCCTTTGAAATTATAGGCAAATARTCACTTCCATTTAGACCCGCAAATAATTCACACAAACTTTAAACTCGAGAACACGTGCTGCACCCGTGTCTCTAATCTCATCATCATCATTTCTCTTCGTGCCAGGAGGCGCATAAGGCCTTTCCTTACCTTCCAATCTCGCTTTTCATAAACTAGAACAGACTTCGCACGAGGAAAAATTAAACTAACGYTTTTGTGCCGTGTTGTATTGATTTTTCCGTTAACTGTGATGTGCAATGGCTTTCATCAATAGTTCTCTTTGTATTTCCTCAGATGGCTATGGAAGCTGCATCCGAGGTTGGAGGCGACAAAGAGGGTTCCTCATCAGAGAGCCAACACGACTTATCCAATCGACTGACTGCCATGTCACAAGCAAGTACCATGATGAACAGCTCATTTGAAAAATCCTCTGAAGAACCATGTAAGCTAAGTTTAAGTAATGCCCTGAGTAAGAACTAGGGAAGCAAACGGCAAAGGAATGCAAGAAGGTGCTAATTGTGCATTGTATAATCCATCCACAAGCTAGCGCATTTTCTAATATTTTATTTAATGTCTGTTTTCGGTTTCATGAAAGCTCTGTTTAGCTTCAAGGCAATTCTATGTGGGGAACATAGCAAATTAGAAGCATCTTTTTGCTATTGTTTTGAGTGCATATGATTGGATAAGAGCTTTTAATACGAAAGAAGCTTTCTTTAAAAATAGAGTTTAACCACATTTTATTTCATTTTATTTTCATTTTCATTTTATTTGGGGAAGTTGCAAAGCCGCAGAACAATAAAGAGTTCCCTAGTTCTTTAGCGCATTGTTACACGCTTTAAAAGGCAAAGTGCATCTGGGAATCGGTGCGAGATTTTCTCACATACGAAGAAATCGCCATCTTTGATTTTGAACCAATCAGAAAGCAACTTTCACGATAGATTTTTAAAACACTTGATCGCAAACGTTTTCAGGTGCACTTAGGACTTATTTAAAAATTTTAAGTAAAGGCTGTTCAAATTCCCCATATCACCTCTTTGTTCGAAAGGATACTGAGACCGTGCGCCCAGGAATTCAATCATAGTTATCCCACCAACGGAGAAATGGTGCCAGTCAAATTGACTCCTACTCCACCCCCACGTTGTAAAATATGACATCGTGTTATTGAAGAAATGCATAAGTGATTTACAAACCACGTATTTTTCTACAGCCTGTTGATTCGTCCCTTACAATATTTAATTCGTGGAAAATTAGAAAATGAGAAATGTTTTCAAAGCCTTTGTYGGGCGGATGGAAGAATAGAAGACGGTCTGAAAAAGGTGTGTGTTTTTCGCGCGCCACTCAAGGGTGCCTTTATTATTATCTTTTATTCTAGCTGAAGTAATTCTCCCGCCTCCGCCATCGGACGTAAGRACAACAAAAGGTACCGGAACGTTTGAGAGCCTTGTTCTTCCGCCATTACCACCRGGAATGAAGGCGTTCCCTAGTATAACAGAGATCGCAGAACCTACAAGACCTACGTATGACCATTCCAATAGAAGGGCTAGTTTAATGAGGTAAGACCTTCATGAAAGTCGTCTTATAACCGCTCTTAAAGCTAATAGACCTAATCAGCTAACGCGTTGCCATGTACGTTGCCACCGAATTCAAATCCTGTAGAAAAAAGAACTTTTGTTTCTAAGAATTTATTTGTGAAATGAAAATAAAATGAATAATGAACTTACTCCCGGGTAGTTTGAATTGGATGGAAACGTTTATAGCAACGCGTTAGCCGATTAGGTCTATTCCAGTGTTCCAGRGCAGACTGGWACCAAGCGCTTCCTTGCGTTTTGAATGGAGCCCRATGCATCACWTTTTCCTCCTTCCMATTWGCCTCTTCAAGCRCAACAGAAATTGTAATGAACTGCATAGATGCGAGTTTGGTTTCGAAGTAACTGTGGACGCTCTATACCTTCGGTGTAGAGCAATTTAGTTCAGGCTTCTCTCGTTCGAATCAACCTCATGGGTCTACGGTCTATTTTCAGAGTAACTATGCCCGCTCTCTTCTGCTARGTCCTTAATTAAGCGGAATGCAATTTAGTTTAGAATTGTTATTTTTTTAATAACATTTATGTGAAAAATGCTGTGCGCCGCGGTATCGCAATATTTGGTCTTTCGAAATAGCTGTATAAACATCGTGCGTTTTATAATGTTTTAGATGGAAAAAGGCTGGATCAATCATCAACCCTAGTCTTATGGGTGGTGCAAACACCCCAACAATCAGCGAAGAGAAGGACAAAAAGAAGAAAAAGCAAGAAACCATGGCGGACATTGTTGAAAAGGCAGATGCTAAATCGAAGAAGAAAGATAAGAAGGAYGACAAGACTGAAGAGAAACTTTGTAAACCAGGTAGATCATTATCGTATTATTTCTACACCAGGGGGAGGGGTGTGGGGAAAAGAGAGGAGAGGAAGGGAGGGGAGGGAGTGTATGGCAGTGTAAGCTTGAGATTACAAGGTTCTTGCAGAATCTCCATGAACAAATTCAGGTAAAAATTCAGTTACCATCTATAAAACACAAATATATTTTTAAGAGCAGCGTATGGAAGAATATTTGCTATATTCAATTTTTGTGTCTTATTTGTACTGAAGTTTTATTTTAAAAGCTCTCTTATAACCTACATATTTCAAGAACATTTAAAGTACATTACTCCAGTTTTGAATTCTCAASGAGTCTCTCTTGAAATGCTCTTGRAAATAYATTTCCAGCATTTTTTAAGGAGTYTAAGGACCCAAACGAATCTCGMGTTTCATTTCTTAACTTTTTCACGGACGTTGTCTATTTTAGGTGATTACGTCATCGTCATTCAAGACGCCACTATTCCACGATTCCTSGAGTCACGACTACAACCCGCCATGCTCCACGTCAAAGTAATACCCAAAAAGAGAGAAAAAAGTAAGATGGGACGAACATAATGACGTCATGTATCTCGTCACATTTATGTACATACTACTAGAATTGACGTCATAACGTTTTCCTGATTTATTGWAGTCATTCATTGAGCAGTTTTAATAAGATTGCCATCTGTAAAAATTCCTACAATATTCATTTTGTAATATTTTTAAATATTAAAATTGGTTTCCTCATAATTAAAAAAACGTTTTCGTAGAATGTTGCATTTCCCTCGTTAATAAATAGCCGACTTGCGAATTACGCGTCAATAGTCACATACAAAGGAATCAAGACGAGGCGCCGTGCTAAAGACAATAGATTTTTCACAAAAAAGCACGGCGCCTCGTCTTGATTCCTTTGTATGTGACTATTGATGCGTAATTCGCAAGTCGGCTATTAAAATAACTTTTTGAGTGAACACACTTTTAAAAACCGTGAAAATGAAAATCGTGCAAATTTGCTCTTAATATGGAGATTGAACTAAACGGGAACATCCTTTGAATGGCAATATTGTTCTTTATGGACGCCATTTATTTAGTTTGCAGAGAATAGAGTGAAGTCAAAAAGACCGTGAAATAGATATTACACTAATACACCTTAGCACGCTCTAATTGCATTGTTTTCTTGACTATCACACTTCAATAGTAAAAATATGTTTCACGGGTTTTATGACCTCGCTAGTACAATTTCACGGATTTAGGATGTTCACTTTATCAATGAAAATCGACAGTGGCTCAAATAGAGTATTTATTATATAAAACAAGTCACAAATTCTAAGTAGAAAGGAAAAGCCAGTCACCTCATTCTTGCGAAATGATTGATAAGGATGGTTTATTCGGTTCGCTTTGCATCCTGGGAAGGGCGACTTTTTCCTCCTTAAATCAACCCCTTCCAGAGCAAAATGTCAGATTGACAACTGGTAACGAGTCAGGCCATCACCTTTTCTACTGGCGTCCTTAATCTGTAACCAACGTAAACAAGTATTGCGTTGGTATCCGAAATCCCGTATAGTCAGTAATAGTCAGTTGCCAAGGAAATAAATTAGCCAATGTACTTGAGTATCTTGACATGACGGTATCCAAGGCCATGCGAGTGGTTACATTGCCATGGTAAACACGATGACGTAATAAATATTGCACCATTTATTGCACCACAGGGACATAAAGATTCCCTATTAGCCAGTAAGACGTCGAGACGCACGAGCTCACATCTCTTCTCGTCATATTAAAAAGTCATTTTATATTTTGAAAATTTGTACAATRTTATCTCAGTCTTCCATCGCTGGCCATTCCTCGAGCTTTTCTCTCTTTACCATCCCCTCCGTGAGCCTCTCCAGCCATCCTGGCAACTCTTTTCTCAGTGATAAGCTCAACACCTTTTGACGCTTTCTCTCGTATTCTTCTAAAGCATCGTCTTGGACGTCGGTCTCACTATCGCTATCCTCAAAACCCATTARCCCACCATCTTGGCTATTAAAAAACTCTGTTTTCGTTAAGTCCGTAGGTTTGAATATTGACACTGTTTTTCTGTGCCCATTGAGGACCAAGACAGTTCCGGGTGTGATTTCGCCGAATTTGTCAACGTTCATAACCTCAGTGCACCACTGAAGGTTGTCGGGAATGGAGAGCCAAACAAACTTGAAGAATACCCGGGAATTCTGCATGCTGAAGATAAAAACAGCAAAACGGAAAGAGCATCAATAAAAAGGGCAATGATAAAGTCAACGATGTTTTAGGTTGAGCATACAGTTCACTCAACTTCTGCTTGATTGAATAGACCACTGAATTATTTACGTCATGTACACCGTATACGCAATGCATTGTAGGATATGTTTGTGACAGAAAATGGCGGATTTCTTTTGCTTTCTCTAGAAACTGATCCCACAATGCATTGAAAATCAAGTAGTGACGTAAAAGGTTCAGAAGTCTCTTGACGCCTGGATGTTGAAAGTGGGGCATAAATTGCCCAATTTCATCATGGCGTCATGAAGGACAAAACCTGTGGAAATTTGGACCCATTTATGGTCTATGAAAGTATAACTTTAATGTTTTTATATATGTCATGTATCAATGATTGTTCATCTATATTTTATTTGATATGCAGTCACTCTGATCCCCTCTGGCAACCATAATCCTTAAGGCCGAATTAAACGGCACAACTTTTGCCTACAACCACCGCATGCGACCTGCGTAAGTCATCTTTACAACATAGCTACAACTGTCGTGGGGCTATTAAGATTTTTTTTTTAAATCTCTACGACAGTTGTAGCCATATTGTACCTTATGAAGATTGCATGCACTGGTTGTAGGCAAACGTTATGCCCTCTAATTCGGCCTTTAGCGTTAAARCACCTCACCTTCTAAACCCATCCACAATATCATCGTAAGCTTGTAACAAAGGCGACACTGCAGCTTCGTCTRTTGTCAGGCTATCCAGTAGAATCGTGACGGTGAGCTGACCTGGTGATCCGTTTCGTACAAGTTCTTTTTCTGTAGACTTCTTCAGTTGAATGAAACCCAGAGCGTGTTCTTGGTGTGATGGCTTGGTTTTGCGCTTTGGAGGGTGCTTTATTTGGGGCTCACTGGACGTTAAAGTAAYACAATAGAGAGCTTAAGCATGACAAACTGGACAAACATGGCAAACTGCTAAMGGCAGAAAAGATCACGTGACCTGCTTTTTTGGGGGTTTATCGTTACAGTTTCAATGCGAGAGTGGGTTATTTTGAGTTTGCCATAATCGTGAAAAGTCGCTCTTTCAAATGACTACCAAAAGCACAAGGTCAGGCACGAAATTCTTAGGTCATTGGTTCAGCTCTGCCGTTAGCCGTTTGCCGTTAACGTGATGCTTAAACTTTCTAATTAGAAGAAAAAGCAAGCAGTGTAGCATGATGGGATATGATGGGTATAAATGGTTTGCAACTGAGACTTTTGTATGTAAGTGTGCTTCGTGGACAAACAACAACTTTGAAGACGCGATGGCGCCAGCCATGGTGAAAAGAGACATACCACTACATAACAAAAGAAATAAGAAAAGTCTTTACTTACTTGTGTGGGAGAAACACGCTGACAGCGCCAATGAATAACAAACCAATCACCATTGTAAACACGGATARACTTTCTTTCCTGAAACATTAATATTATAGTTATTGAACAATGAAGAGTTTTACAAATCTTTCGCCTGTATCACTATCGCCTTCGACAACCTTTAGGGATAACATTCGTTAGGGAAATTTCTTCGTCGCACGAGGGTACACAGCGAGAGGGAATTGGAGCAAGTCTTTACATTACCTTGTCATTAGATAGTAGACATAGGAAGAGGCATCTTTGACCCTATTGATCACCCTAAAAAACGCTCCCTGTGTACAAACAAATATCAGATTGATCCATGAATAACAACAAGAAAACGCGCTAAAACTTTGTACGGACAAGTGCTTGATACAGGTATTACAGAAAACCCTGAATACAAAATTCTAATGATGAGATAGTGTATTCCAAGAATGAATACATAGTTGATCGGTTTATCAGTGTTAAAAAGGARTTTTTGCAGTGACTATACCAGCTCCGTACAGTAAATCAAGTTTAGAATTGTCATTTTGTAACCCTGCTAACATGGAGATTGATCAGACTCGTACCCAGTCGTTTCTCTTGCTCGATTTACGGGTCGCGGTGCATCAAGGGAAGTTCTAATTCCATTGAACCCTTGCGTGCGCCAGAGAAAAAAAGAAGAGTAGCGAGTGGGTACGAGTCTGGAGATTGATAGCAACCATGCATTGCGGTCTTGGTATGCACTAATGCAGTATCACTGTATGCAGTATTCAACATTTTCTGAAATAGATGTACACATGTGAGAGTACAAATCGCAAAACTTACAGGAATTTCTTCGTTATAGAAGGCCGGTATGTCAGTCTTTTGTTTGAGTTTACCAGATCCACTGATAATGTTGTTCAGCATATTCTTTAGCAGTGTGGCCGGGTCAGCGGCAGTATTGTCATTCACATGCCATCCCCCTGGCAACCAGGCGTATCTCAGTTCACCGTTCCCAGAATTCCAAATGATCGCAAGCTAATCAAAAGTAAATCATAAATAGGTATAATAGTCGAACTTCTATTAAGTGGTCACCTTGGGGAACGACCAGAWGGCCGTTTAATACAGGTTGACCGTTTAATAGAGGTCAGGTTTATATACCCTTTTAATAAGTCCCATGGTATTGTTTTTTCCGCACTTGACGTCAAATTTATTCTTTTGAAACTTTTACAATACAAAAGGAATTCAAAAGAATAAATTTGACGTCAAGTGCGGAGAACGTAATACCTCGGGACTTATTAAAAGGGTGTATAGTAGATGTATATATAGTATATGGAATACTAGTATATGGAATCGGCTTTGGGGGGGGGAGGGGAGGGGGGGTGACCGCTTAATGGAGGATGACCGCTAAACAGATGGCCGCTTTATAGAGGATTGTTCACGTTTTGTGTCGAAGACGCCTTTAGATAGGTTTGGTTAAACCGGGAAAATAAACAAAGATTGGTCATTTCTTTTAGAGAATCAAGTAAAAGAGACTCACCTTCAATACTGTGACATTGTTGTTAGTTGTTGTTGGCAAACCCTGTCTGATGGCCGTCGCTACACGGGTTTGAATATCTTCGTAAATGTACGTAAAATGGACACGTTCAGAAGGAAAGATGTCTTGCTGAGCTAATAGTCTTAGTTTTGCTTTCTCTTGATCGTGTTCACCCTTCTTTGTAAATAGCACCACACAAAGTCTGAAGAAAGAGGGTAAGGAAATCGTTTTCGGAAATTTTATGTAAGCGATAGCCATTGTATCTGTATAACGCAGCCTTAAAACAACAGCAACAACAATACCTCCACCAAAAACAACAACAACAAAAAAGAAACCTAACAACAACGACGACACCGGCCATCACCACTACCAACAGCAACAATAAATAAACAACAACTAACAAAAACATCAACAACACCTCCACCACCTCAAATAACAACAAATATACAACACTCCTAGCAACAACAACAACACCTCCATCACCATCACCACCAACAAATAAACAACAACCGAGCAACAACAACACCTCCATCACCACCAATAACAACTACAGATTAACAACATCTAACACCGACAACAAAACATGGGTTTTGAGACTTTGATCTCACGTTACTATCGCTCTACCCGATCACCAAAGTCCTACATCCTAGAGAATCCTGACATAACAACGCTGTCAGTGCGGTAAATAGATAACCAGTCCAAGGTAACATTACTAATTAAAGCACTAATACGCACTTTCGCTGTGATCTAAATCTCTCCTCAGGACATAGCTCGTTAAACACCTTTTGGCTGGAGAGCCGAGGAAGGATAAGGAATCTGTTCGCTTCAACCACCTCGCGTAGTTTTCCACTCTTCAACTCAGATCCCTGGAAAAAAAATCCCGAGAGAACATTGATACCTTAGGCTTAAATAAATACTAAGAAATTAAAACTATCAACTCCCCAAATGGTGAGAAGAAAGGCTAAAGTAACGAGAGAAGATGGTAGCTTTGGATCATTGGCGACAACAAATTCCAAATTTAACTGCTAGCTATGTAACGGCTTTTACTTAATAGTACTGAGTTTTTAATAGCAATTTTTTAGCGAAAAACAAACCCACCATCACAACAACTTCAGGCACCGACTTTTCTTCTTTGAAAATCATCACTGTTGGAACATTGGCCTGAGCTTTGAACTTTCTTCTCAAAATTTCGCCATCTGAAGTAGCTGTACTTATAAACCCAAAGGAAAGTCTTTCTTGATTTGTGAATGCTACAAGATGGTAGAGTAACGATGGAGAACCTTTGGAGGAAAACAGGGTGACTTTTGGCTTGTTATCTTGGGTGTCCAGAAATKTGTCTAGGTTCTTGTTGGTGACCTGTAAAAAACGTTTTATAAAGATAATAAGTTACTACAGTAAGAGYTGGTGTGGCAATAGTCTCCTTCACGGTTACCTGTGCCATCTTGAAAAGTAGCCGTGCCTTTACTTTTGAAGCGAGACGACCGTTGATCATGCAATGATAGAAACCTGTGAATAATTGTCTGTAGGTTTGAAAGAAGGTTTCTATGATTACATGCTCAACGGTCGTCTCGCTTCGATGCAAAAGCACGGCTACCTTTCAAGGTGACACTAGGAACCTTGAAGAAGATTATTGAGACAAATAAGTTCAGTCAAGATCATTMTCTCCCTGATCCTTCTCAGTTCTCTAATGGAAAATCGAAGGCTTTGGTTGCAGACGTCATACCGAAAGACCTAGAATCTGTGTCGCATAGAGCGGATTTCGTATGAGTGGGAAACGGACGGTACTGTACTGTGACCGTAATCGTAGTGTAACCAAATTCTAGTGCCCCATTGGTTCACCAAAATTATGCAGGCCAGGTCCGGTAACTGTGCGCTAACCGTGCGGTAACGGTGTCCCACTCATACGAAATCCGCTCTAATGATACTGTACATGGAATTTTTGAACCAATCAAATCAATGACGCATTCGTCTCCAACCAGAGTCTTCAATTTTCCTTTGGGAAACTGAGAAGAATCTGGGTACGACAATGAGTCAAGACTTGCTATGAAAAGCATTCCAATATTTCTAGACCAAGYCAAAACTTGTGGGAGAAATATTTCATTAGAATTCATCCCCCATAGTGACACTTGTAGGTCAGAGTCTAGGGTATGTGCTGCACAGGGAGACCAAAACACATTCATGCTTGCTAGGAGAACCTGAGTACTAGGGCRCACAGGTCACAATATAACCTGAGTATCAGGCCTTCGAGGGGACCTGGGGAGGAGAGGAGGGGAAAAAGGAAGGGCTCTCCCTTT